TGCAGCATCCCCTTTCCGCCTCACAAGATGCATGGCTTCACTGGCTAGCTTCAAGGCAAACCTCAGTCGAGATCCTGACACCCCCACTCTGCCCCTCGCTCAAGTGTAACAAGCACCTTTCAGCTTTTTCTGTGTTGAAGTCCTCCACATCTGGCAAAACTCCCTTGAAAACAGCTGTTAGTCTCATCCTCCAAAACGGTCTTTTCACACTGCCTGGAGAATGTTAAACACTAGGATCATCAAGACCACCACACAAATAACTGCCACAAATAACTGCCACTGTTTTCTTCTACTCTGTGTGACTGCACCTGTTGTTCCCTACATTTAGGGTCATTAAGGAGACAGTATTCTAGTTATGCGCACTCAGCAAAGGGGCCTTTGGTTCACAAGGAGAACTCAGACACTAAAGTAAGAACTATCTTTACATAAACCAGTCTTAAATACAAAGAGTTCCCGCTTCTGTTCCTAAAAATAGAAATTTCAGAGCTGTGTCGCATTAACAACATCATCCAAGACATCCGGATAAAAAAAAATTATTCAAGACATTTGTGTGTATCTCTACAGTGATATAAAAATATACAGTACTGGGGAACATTACTATGGAAACAAAGTCTGTTTAAGAGAACATCTGTTCTTGTTTATTCCTTGCCCCAAGGAAGAAACCTTACAACTACAGTATCTCAACAGCCATTGAAGATTCAAGGTAGGAAGGCACACTTGGCATTTATTATAAACAACCCATTTACCACTTCAAGAGATTTTCCAAAATGGAAGCAAACAAGGGAGTCCCTCTAGACAAGCAGAGCATTTTTAAAAGAGCCTGTTAACAACTGAAAGTGGCTACTATTCTGTCACTAGCATTAGGTCTTACTCTAATTTCAAAATGGAAAGCTACTTCAGCAATTAAGACTAGAATTAGCCTAGTTAGTGGGGAGCTATGTTTGTAGCATTGTTGTCTATCACACTGACTAGTCTTTTTCGGTTGTAGAGTTTCACAATAAGCATAGTCCTGTTTAGCTTTACAAGACATGTAATTTTTTTTCAGAATTTCCTATGATAAAGCCTTGCACTGCACTATGTTGAAGTATCAAGTCCATCCACGCATTCAGCTTAGAGTGGTTTAAGTCACTATCTTCAAGAGAAGCAGCAAGTAGGAAATCACATATGCAGCTTTTTCAGACAAGATAATTCTTGTATTTCAAAATTTTATTTAAAATTGTAGAATAACTTTAATCCTTGCATTTCATAGCTAATGAATGACCACAATTCAGAAGCATGATACTATAATACTAGAACTCCACCCTTGCGCGACCCTGGCCCACCAAATGTCTCTTCACCTGTTCACCCATTTTATGTCACACAATTTTAAGATGTCTGTCAAAGCAGCAGGGGGAACTAACAGGTGGTATCTTACAAACACGCCCATTCCCATACCACCCCCCCCCAGCAATTTCTGTCTCCAAGAATCCTGATTTTGCTGCATCAGAGATCTAACCTCAGAGCAGAGTGCAGAAAACAGGCGAGTACTGGCCCTAAGCTACTTTTCTCCATTAACATGCTCACAACCAACACCATGTACAACAAAACTGCAGGCCTCTATTTGCACATAGGTAGTTAGAAAAAGTTGTGTCATCATACCTGCTCCATGCCTTTACTGTACAAGTCTTTTGCTCCTGCCACAGCAGCAAGATTGTTCGCCTCGGCTGTTGCCTAGAAAACATTGGGCACCCTGTATCATCACAGCATTGCCAGCTAGTTACACACATGTAGTTACACTGCCCAACATACCCCCACAACCTCCAAAGCCTAAGATTGCCAGGAAAATGTCCCACAAACGCAAGTGAAGGTTAGCCATATACATTATGACACAGTCCCATGTGCTTGTAAAGGCTTTTCATGATGATCAATCTCTTCTGAATGCTCTATTGCTAATAAGCAAATAAGGATCACTAAACTATTAAATGTTAATCCTGATACATCACTACTTGTGAGGAAAGCAGCAAGCTGGTATTATTTCTGCATTACATATGTGCAGTTTTGGTGTCAGAATTTGTAAGAATTTAATACTATTTTCAACCTGTGTCACGTCAGGGACAGTTATTCTAGCTAATACTGCAAGATGTCATCTTCTGTAACTCTCAGCCATGTTTATGCCATACTAAGTAGAGGAAATTGTAGCAGCCTTTATTTCACTGTGGTGAGATTGCTGAACTCCCTCAAAAGTCTAAAGATTTAGTTCCTTGAAGGATGAGAAAACACCCAGAACAGTCACGTCTTAATGAAGTGACACAGGAAGCTTAAAAACCCAAGTCTTACAAATGCAAAATGGCTAGAACTGATGCTAAAGCCCACGCTTTGGTGAAAGTTCTTCATCCCAAACAGCTCAAGGGTTCAACTCACAGCTTTATACAATCAGTTTGTGTTTAGATTGCTTTAAAGCTGATTACATCCTTTCTGGATCAACCCACAAAAGAAACCTCACTGCAGTTATACAGTCTAACAAACCCACAGCGTAGCTCAACACTGCAAGCCAGTGGCAATAGCTGCATTATTATAAGCCTTCTCCACTCTATCTGCTGCATCTGATGCTAAAAGCCCTCTGAATACAGTCTGAAAGATGCTGACAAAATAGCAAGTTATGGAAACACATGCTTAGAAATTGAAGCAGCTAAAGAAAACCTCATCAGATATATGCCTGCTCCATTTGGTAGATGGAACTGACAGAAGACACAAATGTATACACAGGCTACACAGTTCAGATGGCTTTCAAAGTACACAACTCCTTCAAGAACTACAGCTCTGTGTGTGGGAGCTTCAGACCTGCAGCAGCCATGATCCTGAACTGCAAAGAACTTACAGATTACACATCATCTATCAGGTTATTTGAGAGAAAAATAAAATACCTGCAGCATAGATTTCGGATGAGGTAGCTCCTCTCCTTGATAGATTTTAATATAAGCCTAAATGGGAGAAAGAAAAAAAGGTTTCTTTTTCCTAAACATATATGAGGAGAAAGAGAGAAGACAGATGATATAAACACAGAGCTCGGATTATTTCTTTGTAATAACGCTAAATACTCAATTAAGCAAATTTCTTCTTACAAGACTGGCATTCTCACAGTTATCCCTTATGCTTTAATCCCTTTACTTTCTTGGGCATTTGAGGCTGGAGCCTAGCAAGGTAGCAGAGCACCTGGAGGAGACATGGCCACTATCTCAAGAAGTGACAGGCTTGACAGCATGTTTCTGCTCCCTCAAATACACAAGATCTTTGCTAGGCAGGGAATCTTCACCCAAAACAAAAGAGTGAACATGACTACCTCACACAACCTTTCTGGAAAGAGGTCTGTCCAAACACACCCCAGTGCTGGGAGAACTAGTATTTACATTTCCCCATATGCCTTACCCCCTTTGAAGTGTGGGAGGAAAGGCGGCAGATCAAAGCACTAATCCAGACAGAGCTGAGCTGCTAAAATACTTCTGGAAGCCAAGCAGGCAGCCTATCCTTCTGCGCCCCACCCCTCCAATCCTCACGTGTCCTCTCTTACCAGGGCTTCAGAACACTGGAAGAGAACATGTCCTTCGTATCTTCTCCTCCAGCCCACGAGACAACCCGTGGCACAGTTCTTTGGGACAGATCAGTGCAGAGTGCTCAGCAGGCAGCAGTACCCATTTCAGTGCTTTGGACAAGCTATGCAAGTTTGACCAACAAGGACACTCTCAGTCCCTGGGAGGCTGGGCAGTTATTCTTCTTCATCCTACTACTGCTCTACCCCCCCAGCTTGTCTACAAGCCTATGCCCTGAGGAATTTTCTGTGTAAAGGAGGAGAGAACAAGGTTATCAGGGTCTCTATATATCCAATGCTCTAGGTTGTAGGACAACCTACAAAAATGTATAGAGTTATACAGGACTCTGTTCCCTCGACACCCTCCTTGTTTCTGTAGCTATTTCCTCCAAGTAAAAGCCCTCCAGTTTCCAACTCGGACTCCACGATCTCGGCTTCACATGCACAGTCCCAAGGGAGCAGTCCTCCTTAGTTACATAACCACAGCATTTCCGCAGCACCCTGCACGACTGCTCCCAAACTGGATACGGGGCATCAATCAGGCAGCTTAGCGATAGAGGAGGTTTTGTGCTCAGTTTTCAGGGTGCAGTCCTTTCTAAACTGCTGTTGAATATACACTCCCTACACTGTACAGGATCAGGTCTTACTAGAGAAGAAAGTGGAACAAAAAGCAGCATGCAACCATGTAAATGTTGATTTTATGCTTGTCACAACAGCCAGCACTGCTGCATACCACATCATGTCTCTCCTTTTATAAAAAGTTACTTCATCTATACATGTTAAATAGTTCTGGTCTCACACTCCTCCCTTGCATAGCTGCTTTCTTAACATCAGCCTAACTGTGCTCTACCTTTAACATGCATACTCAAAAGTAGTAATGCAAAAATCAATGTCTTTAGGAATGAGTGCCACTTTTTCCTACCAAACCAACTGTTTAAGTCTTTCCAATTCAAAAAAAAAAAAGATTACACACACCAGACCAATTCCTGGCGATGTCGGGATTATGTTATCGCATTTCTGCTAGTGTCACCATGATACCAAAACAGCTCAAGAGTAACAGCTGCAAGTATCATACACAATTATTTCAGAACATACAGTGGTGCTGCACATACAAGTGTTTAGAAAGCATCTTCCTTCCATGTTAAAAATCCAGAGGGAAGTATCTGAAATTTTCACTGCACACCTAGCAGTTTAAGAGCTGGTTTTCTATCTGTACCATCTACATGAGACTCTCTTACTTAAAAAAAAGGCAACATATCCAGACAAACTAGGTTTTCAAAGTAGGAAAAAAAAAATCTCTAATACGGCTTGAAGTATTTCAACCTATTTACAAAGGAAAAAACAAAAACAAACCACAATTTTGCCAACAATAGCTTACTAAGAGCTATACTGCTAGAAAGTTGTGTGCCAGTTCTGGAAAGTCAGGAGTAATGAAATGAAAATAAAAGTGAGATGATCAGTGAGTGTCAGCCTAGATATCTTCTCTTCTCTGGGAACAACATGCCCTAAAATTAGGATACTTTCTTTTAAGCCATTAACAGAAATAATTAGTATGAGTTTGCTTACCTTAAAGTATTCTACAAGATCTCTACAGGTCACCTTGGATCCACTAATCTCTTTTTCTACCAAGTTTTCAGGAGCAAGCAGTAATGGTACCAAATTCCGCAGTTCGTTCTTAAAATCCTCATCTATATCTAGTAAAATTCAATCAATTTCAGAAAAAAAAAAATCAGTTTTCTTCTCAGTCTTACATTTCTTAAAGGAACACTGATAACCCATGGCCCTTCAAAATCCACAGCGTCACAACTCTTGACTGCATTTTTAAGATATTTAAAGGCTTGAATGCATAATACAGCTTTGGTAAATTCTGCCTACTCTTCAGTCTTAACCTCAGAGTGAGACAAGGTTCCATAGTCCTCGTAATATTTAAAGTACATTTCCCCAGTTACACCAACATCTTGCACAATAATCCCAAAGGTCCACGCCCTCAGCACAGAAGTGGCTGGCATCCCACTATCGGAAACCCACTTTTTTAGCCCTTGCCATTCTGATGCATTCCCTCTGTTGGGGGACAAGCAGCAATTGGAGGAAACCTGACTGCCTCTCATTCTGCAGTGGCAAAAAGCCTACAGCTTTTAAAGTCATTCTAGTTCTGATGTTTGTTTTAGAAAGTTCTTAGAGAAAAGCCTTTTAGTTTTAAGAAATTAGAAGTCTTTAATTTTGTGAATTCTCCCCTCTGGAATTCCTATTTTTCTTTAGAATCCTTATTTAGTGACCTTTAAGTATGTCTCAAGTTATCAGACTATAATCAACACCTAGACACAAAGATACCCATTTCCTCTGCCTGCTTATGTCCCTTACCTTCAAACTACTGAAAAGAACACACATTTCTAGATTCCATAGATTCACCTTTTAGCCTTGTGTTTTTCCAGTCAAGCATTTCAAAAGCCAAGCATTTCAGTGTTTAACTTCCATTGCAAAAGAAAATAAACTCAGTAATCTGAACCAAGAAACACACAATGGAAAGCTTCCTACCATTCAACCTCCCATCAAAACTTGGATTTGTTGCAACTTTAAGACCAGGGTGGGGCAACAGGAAACAGCCAAGATTACTGAAACAGGAGTGAATATGCTTCCTTACATTCTGTAGCTCTTCATGTTGGTTTTGCTTTACCTGAAGAAAAAAAAAAGGCAGTAAGAACTGCTGATAGTTTTGCAGTACTGCAATTAAGATTAAATATCAGCTTAAAAGCAGTAAGAGGACAAAAGTGTGTTTAAGCTTTCATTCCTGAACCTAAAAATGTCAAGTTCTAAACCTCAGAACTCTGCACACGAGTAGGAACATCACAAGTGTATTTTGTTAGCACAAAGCATTAGCTCACCATGCATCATTAACTTTACAGTAAGTTGTCACTTAAATTAGAAGACCACACTACGACTTCTGGAGACAACTTACCTGCAATCTTTTCTCTAGGAATTTTTTTCCTCCTTCCAAGCCATATGCATGTTCATAAGGATAACTCCAATCTCTAATTAAGAACATTAGTGTCTGTAACAGGAAAAACAACAACAGTGAATGGCTTGCATCATTCCTAAGGTGAAAAACTATCACACATGATTATTTTAAGTAAAAAAATTTCTAAGCTTTGACGCTCTAAATGAAGTAGCCTTGTAGATTTGTGGTGCATCTGCTTGTTTAAGGAAAAAAAAAAAAACAACCAACCAAACCCACACACGCAACTCCCTCCTTATCTGAAAGGAAGTACCGAAGTGTCTCAAAAAGCTAGCTTCCCTGTTCCATCGGTTTGCCTTTTGCTATCCCACATGGATTCCACTGTCCTCTCTGCCACCAGATGAAGGTCGAAAAGAAACCTTGACAGTTACTCTTGTATTGGACAAGGCGTTTTACAAAGAACGCATGGCGCCTGGGCCAATTGCAAGAACATTGGGGACTCACACTTGCAGGCTGAATATACTAGAGACAGAAGAGTCTCAAAACTCACCACTAACAGCAGTTGACTAGTATCCTTATGGGTTAAGGAGGATACTTCAGGATGGGAGATCTCAGCCTTTGTCTCCACTAAACAGAAGCAGCCTCAAAACCTTCTCTGGCCTAGCAACAGTCAGGAGGTGCTAGCAGTTTTGAAACTTTCCACGCTGAAGCCAGTAACACCTTGAGTAAATGAAAGGCAACACAGCCCTCCTCAGTGCTATTTCTTAGAGGCCACATAACCTTTACTCAGAACCATGTACCACCAGCAAAGACCAACCACATCTCAGAGTAACGAGTAAGCAGGCAGCGTGAAGCTTTCTTCCTTAACATCTGTACATCACTTGACACTCACTCCCTTCATGCCTTATAACTCAGGCACAGAGCTATACTTGCCCAAAACGTGATCCTCTTCAGTGTTTTTCCATTGTGTTTTTGCCAAGAAATATGGTGACAGGGAAGGAAAAATCAGTCTTGTAAAAAAACAGGCTGACTTCAGCCCAACTTAGTTTCTCTTCACAAATTATCCTGAGCTCATTTTCTACATGTTCAAATGCTTAAGATCCATTTAATATATATAGTTACCTGGAACGGCTTTTGGTAAATTTCTTCCATAGCTAGTCTTCCATACTCTGTAAACAACTGATAGAAAGAAGAGTGTAAGGGTGTCACATATCAAACACATTTTTCTACCATAAAATATTCTATTATGTCACTAGAAAATAAAGCATTCGATCTTAAATCCTATTACAGGTTAGGAATGGACAATACGCCTGAAGAATAAGTACACCAAGCCTCGGTAAAATTCAGGAAGGAGACATGATTTCCACTGGTTTCACCGTGCCATTCCATAACTGTCTCTGCACCACAGCTCTAAGTTGGTGGCTTGGAGGCTATTCTCAGAGGAAGTGCTGGCTGCATCTCTCAGTAAGCCAGTTTCCAACACTTGTTTCCTATGCTAAGGAGGTAAGCTTGTCAACATTCGCCCCTTACTTCCCAAAAAATATTTATTCCTGGAAATCTCAAGGAACTTGGCTAGAGCCTATGTATCAGACATTTAAACACAAGCCATGTTCAGCAGCTTCCTAGATCTCTACTTCAGCTCATGACCTTAACTGATGATTGTTCTTTCGTTCCAGTATAAATGCAAGTGGCAGCTGTCTTCCTGTCATTGCTATCACCACATTTAATACCAGCAGCAGCATTCTTCTAAGGATTGAATGGGCCAGACAACGCACAAGAACACGAATTATGGACTGTGGTAGCTTTTTCAGCACAGGTCAATACTGTCAGGTGTTGATCCATGCTAGATCCCTTAAAGATCTTGGAGGTCAAGACGAGGGATGCACACCAGTATCCTCTAGTACCAGGTCACTGTTCTTCTGCATTAAAACTAACTTCTGGAGCATCTCAGATAAATTTTGTGGCTAAAAGGACAGTTACCTTTGTTGAACACAAGAGCATCTGAGAACTTACAAGACTTATTCAACACAAATTAACTTACAAGTCCTTGTCACCCTGAGCAAAAGAAGCTCTGAAGTGGCCAAGCACCCACATGAGACTGACTCATTTGATCCTAACTCTCTACCCCATCCACTTCCCTGCTATGTGGAAAAGGCAGCCAGAGACTAACAGTATTTCAGAATAACAGAAACTCCTGTTATAACAGAAATTCAGAATTTCCCTCCCTCAGCTCACACTTCCTTGCCCCAACTTTAAATGCACGGGTGTCCCTTACCCACTGCTTATATTTATCACCCTTCTCTTCCCTTCCTTCCCTCAAACCTCACCCTCCAGTGTAACAGAAAAGGATCACTATTCAGATTGCACTGAGGCAAAGGACCAAAGTCATAAGGAAAGCCTGGCTTTCAAATAATTAGCTACGGCTTCTTTTCTTTGCAGTGCTTGGTTGGGTTCTTTTGGGACACGGCAGGGTATCGGCCCTGTGATACTACTCTGTTAACTGAGAACAGCATCACAAGACTATGTTTAGTTAGTGCTCTTCTACTTCCAGTATTGGCAGCTAATCTTTTGCAACACTGATCAAGACAGAAGTCCTTTCAATCAGAAGACATGTAAAACAGTTTTAAGCTGTGACAAGGTCATGGCCTGAGCACAGACAGGCATTTGTTAATACACAAGCTAGCCTTTAAAGCTACAGGTTTTAAGCTAAGGAGATAAGATTCTTGCACCATTCACATGAAGCCAGAATTCAGTGGCCTTTGACCACAATGTTCCACTAGAGGATGAAAACACCACAGCAAGGAGAGGACAACTCTTTCCTGCTTTTGTTTCTAAGCAGAAATGAAACTCTCTAGAAGCTTCTCAGCTGAAAAAATAGAGAAAGCTTCTAAGTGGAAGATATTCTTTCTGCCCTGCCTCAAACTCCCACATTTCTTTAGAAAATGGTTAGGAAATACCATCCATTTTCCTATTTCATGCAAAAAGGAGAAACACTGGAACTTTCTTACTAATTACTTCCATAAATCCTTTTCCTTTCTCATGCTTTTGGGAATTTCAAAACTTACCATATAAAGAACAGACTTCAGAAAGATAAGGTTTAGCCACATGAGAAGCCTGTATTATTTTACCTCTATACTGGTACAGCAAAAGCATCACAGCACCATGGAGCTGATGCAAAGAACGTTGCTCTAGGCAGCACTAGTTTTAGCATCAGGTAAGCGTCAGTGTTTTAGATGAAGTATCAGGCAGCTCCCAAATCACAACTATGTTAGCAGGAACTTCAAGAAGAATGTCAAGACTATCAGTTCAGAAGCAGCTCAGTAAAAATTCAGCATATTCTTACCTGCAAATGTTGAAGGTCATCCTCCTGAATATTCTGGGACAAGTTGTATACCTGCAAAAGACAGTAAAAGAATTAGTGTAATCTGAAACAATTATCCTATATTCATGTAGTCTTTTATGTATCTTGAGTATTTTTACCCCCTCCAGAAAAGTCTAAAAAAAGTCAGCAACTAGAAAAGTGTCATGGAACGCACCTCAAACAAAAGTCACTTCCTTATATAAAGTGCTAGGAACAAAATCACTGCTGACCACCCTAATCCTTCTTAGAACAGCTTCTTCCCAAGGAAGCTAGCCATAAAGGAATCAGGGAAGACTGATGAATTCTTCAAATCACCACACAGGTGTGAGACAGGAGGATTGAGAAGGGCACATCTCTTTGCCATCCTCAAGTCCAAGTGCTCTAGGATTCAGTGATGCAGCAGCTGCACCCCTGACACAGAAATGACTGGGTAGTTAGTTCACCGGTTTTTTTGCTTTCAAATCTTCCCAGAGAAATCTGATTTTATCCAAGGAATTCGTGACTGTTTCAATAGCGTGAATACTGAACAGCAGTAAACTCAATGATGCATCAATAACCCACAACTTATCCTAACCACAGGAACTGAAGAAACAAACAAAAAGCCAAACAAATAAAAAAACCCAGCAGAAACTACCCCACAGGGCAGAACTAGTGTTCTACATTCTCCTGTCACTTTCATGTTGCAGCATGTCTGAAGAAGGTAACTTGCCATCCCTCAAGAACCTGCTCTTTTGGTACATTTACGGCACAAGCATAGAAGTAGTTTTGGGCATATCACAAGAGAATTGTCCGAAGTTTAGCCGATCACAGCGTAATTTCACCCCAAACTGTCTCAAAAGAGACTCTTTAACACATCTGTACAAAATTGCTTCTACTTTGACATCTTTTTTTTGGGATTCCCCAGTTCAGTTAGCAGTTTAACCCAGCTTGGCCTTGGATAACCTTGATTCCACAGAGAAACTTGCATAGTATACTACACTGAAAATAAGACATTAATTATGCCAGCTTAAATGACAGTTGGAGGAAGACATGCAGGTGAACTTTCCAAGTATGGCTAGAGAGATACTCTTTGATTGTTCAGGATAGAGGGTTCCTATAGCTACTGTTACTTGCCAGCAAAGGCATTCTCACCTGGACAGAGCTCGTCATGGTGCTCAGAGCAAAAACTGTTGCACAGTCTTTGATAGTGGATTGGCTATCAAAGGCACCTTGGGTATCCATGAGTAGTACAGCAACCTAGAGAGTTTTAAAGAGCAGCAATAGTTAACCAAATTGTTAACACTTTCAAACTCTGGGCCATTGGGATAAATTCTGCTTCAAGTAAAGCAAGTGTCTGCCCCATACCTACTTCTTAAACCTCAGTCAGCTCCCTGCACACATGCCTACACACACCTACAGCTGAGTAAGCAACAACTAGAGGGCCACGTCATCAGCCTTAAGTCCTTGGCCTTGTTACACTAGTTATCCTCTCCCATAGAAACAGCCTCCCTCAGCCCAGTGAGGGTATAGTGCAGAGTAACAGACAGCTCTTATTCACTGGAAGAACTTCAGTCTCAGCCGACAATCCAGCATAGTTCATTAGAGCCAGGAGAGAGACGGTTACTTTTAAAAATACAGGTATCTTAAAATAATTTTCAGAAGAAACCAAGATAATTGATACTGACTGTCTGCTGGAATGACAAGAAATGAAGTAATCTTAATGATAAAAGTTTATCTGCCCAATGCCCATCTTCGGGATCTACTACAATTCCCTTCTCTTTCAGTTAGAGATGACTGATAAGCAAGAATGAGTGAGCGATCTTCCCAGTGTACAAACGGATCCTTGCAACTTAACTGGTGTTTAGCCAGAGAACTGTTTAGTTAGCTATGAAATTTGATAAAGCTTCCTGCACGCTCCTAGACCACCATCCGTGGTGCTCAGTGTCCTATATCAATTGGTCATCAGATGTTTCCTTTGCAAATGCGAAGGGTATGAAAGTTAAACAACAAAGAGCTTATAGTCCAGAAGAACACAAATAGCTCAAGATATGCCACCAGTATTGTGGAGTAAATACTTATTAACAACATTCACATTTTGTTTCAACATGAAGATAAACACCTACAAACTTTGTAGTTAAACTAACTTTAGAGTTAAAAAAGACACATCAGCTTTGATTAGAATAGAGTTAATGCCTTTTACCCCACCATTAGACTTCGTCCTTTTTTATGAACTACCTGTTAAAACTCTATGGAAGGATCAGCTTCCAGACACAGAAGCTGTTTCCAGTACTTTTAGCCATGCATTATATTTCACTAGAACACAGCTACAAGCTAGAATACATTCTCACCACTCAAAAAACAGTGTTTGTTACAGAGCTGTTCTTATCACAGCATTTGTCTATATACGTAATTTATATCCATTACAGTTTTACAACATCTACAGCATAATCCACCCATCAGCCTGGACAAGACAGACTTTGCCAAAACAAAGTACTCTCAGAATGGGAATATTGTTGGAGACTGAAACTTACAACCCATCAGGAAAATGCACACTTGCAGTGACAGAAGGTCTCCAAATATGTTATGCAGCTACTGAATGTAAAGGAAAGCAGCTGATGTTTGAACTGCCTCCATGAAACCCATGCCTTTAGAAGTCTACACACAGAGGTAAAAATCATTACATACCCTTAAGTCAAGCACTTACCTTTGTTCCATTGGGTTTATCAATTACAAACACTTCACTCCAGATCTGAATCCCAGTGGTTTCCCGTTCACATCCACCTCTCCATGTAAACCCAGTCAATGGCTCAGTGTTTCCACCTATCCAGCAAGGAGAAGTCTACAAAACAAGAGGAGAAACTTACTTAAAACCGAGATTTAACTTTTTTAACATGCTATGTTTTAGCAGATTTCCACATTATTCTCTCATCTTCCTCAGAGCTGATTGACAGCACTACACAAAATATGAAAACACAGTGCCACTCTGCTGTGTTTCAAGGATCATCCACAAAGAAACACTTTTTGAGTCTACTGTATTTCAGCAGTTGCACAACTCTTCAGCCACTGAAGAGCATATGTGCACAGCTTTCAAGTCTCCAGCACTCAGAGCTAATGAGAACAGCTCAGTTTCATCCATTGATTCCACTTTGCACTTATGCTCTTCTTTCACAGCTGAGAGATCTCAATCCACACACAGTTGTAAATAGCATGTATTTTAACTACAGGAACAGCTAAACCTCTGCAAGGAATAAAAAAACCTGATCTTTACTTAATCCCCTCCCTTCCCCCTTTCAACTGCTGAAAGTAGCTAAGCATCTAAGCCCCCGCACTAACAGAGGCCAGGGCCAGCACAAGACTCTCAATGCCAGCTTGCAGAAGCCAAATAGAATCGCAAGGACCAGAAGATCTACAATTTATACTTGTCACAGTCACAAAATACTTAGGACAAAGGGATCTGGATTCAAGAGAAAAGGTCACGTTGAGAGTTTGATACATATCAATCAATCCATCTATATCAAAATTTTACTGGCACATTGCACACTTTGGGAAAGGCTATCAAAAAGTCACATACAGCTTGCAGCTAGCATTTCTGGCTGATGGTACCGTAACGAGGCCTTTGGTCCTCAAGGTCAGATAACACATGGAGCAGTGGCTCACACAGTAGAGCCCAGCCATTACATGAGCACATTTAACCCAGAAATGTACTGGGCAAGTAAGGAGCATGAACAGGTGCCCTGTGATAGGTTTATATACACTGAAATCCTACACAAGAAGTCCTAGGCAGACAATAGTTTAACTGATGAGGGGGGTTAAGAGAAAAACCTTTACTTCACAGACATGCTGGTAGAACAGAAAGAGGCATTTAATGAATTTGCCTCGGACTGCCCAGAGATTACCAGCCAGGAAAGTGCTCTTCGCGAAGGTCAAAGGGGAGACATCTCAATTGACTAGGTCTCTACTTTGGTAGGTCTCTACCTTGCTGACTCTGCACGGGCAGTTTTCAGAAAAGAGCTCACGACACATCAGAAAACAGCATGACCACCCAGGGGCTATACGGAATAGAAATACTTACTAAAAATAAGTGAAACTGCTTATTTTTAAAGGGGGATGGGAAAAAAACCTGCACACAACCCTCATGCCTAGCAGCATGCAGAACAAACCATACTAAGAGGAAAAGGCAATCAAGCAGTTCTGCACCAGTATTCTCCCAAATGCTAAGTGTACACACCATTCGGCTCTGCTATTTGGATCAGACATGGCAAAAGTAAATGAGGGGAGTAGATAAAAGTTAAGAAAATGAACACAGGTATCCAAGTGAAGAGAATCACAGCTCCTTAAATGTAGGCTGTCTGGGATTTTTTTTGTTTTGTTTCATCACACACATACACCTCTACCAGAGAGACTTAGCAAAATCTGAACAGCTTTGCCATGGAGTTTTTTATCCCAGAAGATGCTTTTGCACCCACTGACCACTTAGGAAATCAAAGCTCCAGGCCTATTTTGGGCTTCAGTACACTCCAGGACACAGTTTTGCACTGCTGAATCATATATCACAGGTATTTGCCAATGGACTGTAGCTATTCACTTTTTTAAAAGAATCTCTTGTATTATTCAATGACATGTTCCATTTGTCATTTATCCAAGACTATTTTTTCCACAGTTTCGTCCAGAAATTGTCCTTATTTGTAGCCATTCAGACGAAAACTACACAAATCTTTTAACAAGTCCCTCAATGAGCACTAGATACAATCACAATTGATTTCATATGTGATTCATATCACAGGAGACTTTGGTATCTTAACAGGCACAACTTCAGCCGAAGCTGCTTCATCTTGTGCATGAGGCACTGTAGCCTGTCTCTGACCTTTGCATCAGTTTGAAGCACTTCTAGTTTGTTACCTGCATCTTTCCTTAGTTAAAACTCAGTATTTTAACAATCTCCATCCATAAAGTTGGCTTGAAAGATATTCAAGAGATGGAAGGAGCAAAAAAGACTTTGTTCCTACATGAACTCAAGCTAGAAGTTGCACTAAGGAAAGGACCAATGCAGCTTTATTTTGCATGGTGCCATTAGTACACAGTGCACCTTGCAGATTAATACAAGCTAAGAAGGTCATACCCCTGTAAAAAAAGCTTTTAAATCTAAATTTACTAGTGTTACTGCACCCAACGCTTATTAAGGCTTAAACTGCAAAGATCACAGGATCCTTTCAGCAGCTCGCTGAGTACACAACTGCTGCTGTTTTGTGGCAGATTATTCTGTTTCATGTCAAATGAGCAATTGTAACACTAACTATCGGTGCTTGAAGTGAGATGCCCACCTCCCTGAGGTTAGTGACCAACCTCAGCCATGCCAAAACTCTACTTGCGGCTTCAACTGGCATAAGTGAGCTCTTCAGAACGGCAACTATTCACATGACCTCCACCTCTTGGTGTGAGACAAGAAAGTGGGATTCTGAAGTATCCTGGCAAGTTTTTCATCATGCATGTGAATATCCAGAGGATATCCCAAAATTGCTTGATTAGTGTACAAACTGAATGCAGATGCTTTAGGATTTTGTGTAGGATCCAATATTTATTTCACAGAAAATAAAGACTTGTAATTACGCCTGACTGAAGATGGAGCAATCAGACTAAAGACTATTATAAAAACTATACCAAGGCCTGTCCTCCTGTACTGAAATTTGCATAAGCATAGAGGATACCATTTGACTTGATACAATTTTGCAGTGCTTGAAAGAGGAGGCGTTGCACTTATCTTCTCTCATCCCCAACTCCCATCAATCAGTTCGCAGCAGCTCTGATGCTTGTCAACCGCTTTCCCCAAGCCAGTTTACATCACTGAGCTGGCATGAAAATATTTCAGCAGAGTGCAGTGTCTTCTGATGCATCATTGAGTTGGATCAGCTCCGCTAAGGGCCTGCAAGCATTACAGCTTCAGAATGCAAATGCCTGGCCAGAAGCAGCACATGGCGAGCAAAACCTCTCTGCTTTTGGTAACAGACAGTTGTTACAGTAGATGGCCAAGTTTGCCTTCATCTTCAGTTTAAGTGAAACAAATGGTATTGTGAAGGACACCTATAGAAAACTGAGAAAAGTGATTGCACAATAAAAGGAACAGAGGCATCATATTACAAAAGGCTGAAACAGTGTTTCAATCCATTTTGCTTTATGAACTTTTGTTTTATTTCACAATCTGAAAGTTGAGAGTATTTGCTTCAACCCCGCCCCTTCCATTTTTAGAAGGGGCTAGCACTACCTCCACCCAGACACCATCTAGCTCAGATCGGTATACTTCTGGGGAGTTTGGGTTTTTTGTTTGTTTGTGGTTTGCTTGGGGCTGTGAGGGGTGGGGTTTGTTTTGGTTTTAATATAAACAGGACACTAGAGAGAGTTAGGTAGTATACACAGACAAAAAGCCACCCACTGAACAACTGTATCAATGAAACATTTATTCCTCCCCAGGTTAAAAGAGTATTAAGAAGTTGGGAGCACCAGCTTGCTACTCTGTATTCCTCCTACTATATCCTCAGTGTCTTTCTTACACAGCTCTTTGCAAAACAGTGAGAAAAATTCAATAGCAGGCCCTACTGAGAGTGAGAGAAAGGAAGTCTTCATCTACCAACTACCAGCAGCTCCTTTGCAATATTCCCATATTTCCTGTAACTGCAGCATTCATCTTTGTTTCTCCTGAAGCCAGTTAGCACAAAGGTAAAATAGAGACAGTCATGGTTAGTTTCTGCTACCACAAATTCCAACTTCAAAGAACAGTGACCAAAAAAGGAATCAGTTCTGGGTTTGTTTTTTTGTTGGGTTTTTTTGGTTGGGTTTTTTTTTGGGGGGGGGGGGGGTGTTTGTTTGTTGTTTTGGTTTTTTTAAGAGCTTCAAAAAAAAAATATCAAACACACACTGAATTGTCAATATTCACTATGCAGATTAAAAGAAACACACCACAACCTGTGACAGGCAGATGCGTATGCTCATAGGAGACCCTACCCCACCTTCTCCGTATCAGCCAAGAGTTCAAAGTACAGTAGACACATGACAACACCAGCCAAAAGCTACAAACTAAGAGAAGAAATTAAATTTTGGATCAGTTATTCATTAACTAATGACTTTAAAGGATTTTAAAAGTTCCTGGACTATGTTCAGAGACACATTCCAAGCAGCAAACAGAACACTTTCTCCCTTTTGCCATACCTCAGATTTAAGCAGATTTAGTCCTCCAATAGTTACCTGGTAAGACTCTTCTTTTTGCAACAGTGGGTAAGCTAGTGCTACAATATGATTTCAGGAGATCAAGTCAAAGCAAGATTCCTTCAAGCCATCACTTGGATGAGCCCTTCCCCAAAGCTCAACTAGCAGGCCACTGCATTCTCTCATTCAAGTTCTTCTCATGCCCACTTACATCGGGACACCAATAAGTTCCCTTGATAACTGCAGGAAAATTTGTATTGAAAAACTGTTACCTATATACACTTCTTTACAGCGTAGAAATAGAGTAGCTGGTTTACTCATCCCTCAATAAGCAAGAAAAATTTGACCTGTTATATTTGTGCTCAAGCCAAGAAATACAAAGGTAAATGACTAAAACACCAAATTACTTTTCTCCTGCAAGGAAAAATCTGAATTACTCACCCTGTTATACATGTATCTAAGCATGAAGTCCAGCAGAAAAGATTTTCCTTTGCGGAAAGCTCCTGCTACAGACACAACTACTATGTTAAGATCTTTGATGTGTTCCTGAAGCAAGATTTTTTCCAATGCTTCTTCATCTAATTCAAAGTTATGGTCATCTTCATGAGCAAGAACGATCTGTATGGGGCGCGGCTTATCCAAATCCACCTCATCATCTGAGTCTGGCAGGGCGTCCGAGTCAGCTAGGGCATCCTCCTCCTCCTCTTCCTCATAATGCTTACCTGAAAATTGACAGGTTACAATACATTAGTAAGTCAGACCTTAGGGCCTTAGACACTTCTTTGAAGTGAAGCCTTGAGCTGGGCTTTCAGTCCCAGCAGAGTGATGTTCTTGGGAACACACATATGCAGACAATGAGATCAACAGCAGTTCCCTATCCGTTTTAGTGAGCTTTGCATATAGTCTATATTTCAGATCTGCAGCATTCTGTGTTTTAAGAAATCACAAAAGAAAACCAGTTTTCAGCATCAAAACCCCTTTTAAAGGCTCCTTAAGTATAACTTCCATCAAAAATCAAGGGCGTTTCTTATCTGGAAAAAAAAAAAAGAATTTGTTTAAAATAATCTCCAAAGAGGGCCAAAACAGATCATTTCTAGATCATCACCACCTTATACTATCGTAAGTGGGGGAAACTGAAGAAATAATCAGGGTTTTCTGTTAGTTTTGCTTGCCAACATGTACAGGCAAGACCACTGATCTAGTATGTAACCCCAGGATTACACATATCAGGAGATTAAGTTCCTCTCCAATTCCAACACATTACACCTGTTCCAATTCTGAATACAGCACAGACTTCAGAGTGACTATTCACTGCTTGCAAGAGGATAAACTCCTGAGCATGTGCAAGGCCTAACACTTCTGGGATAAGAAAAACAAAAAAACATTGAAGTAGTTTCTGGATTCATACTCCTCCCATGACACATCATTAAGCAAAATTTAGTAACAGTAAGTACCAACTCTTTCAAAAAGAGTTAAGAGAATATTTTACACTCAATTTAAAAATCAATACCCTTTCAGGATCAATCAGTAGCTCAAAGAACTGTTAACTCAGATGAAATTTAAGTTACTAATGAATGATTAAGGTAACACGGCCCTTTAGACATACAGCGCAATAGCACCAACATCCTATTTTCCTAACTTCCAGAATTCAGGAGTTACTGAGTTAGAGACCTGAAAAAAATCAAACTGACCTGTCCAAGATGAAGTCTCCTTCTTGTTCAGGTATTACAACTTTATCACTGGCCTGATTCCACTTTTCCTACCAAGCATCTGGAAGCGGTTTTGTGCCTACAGAAATGCCTCCAATTCCAGATTTATATTTCACTAACATTTACTCTACCAGAACCCCATACAAACAAACCTGACTGAGGCACCTTCCCAGGAGTTACTTACCTGGGAACATCACTAAATGAATCTAAGTACCCTGGACTGCTAGCCACACTTGCGTTTCCATGCACTACTTTAACAAACAAGCAAGCATCTCTGGTTACTTGATGCACTGCATGCATATGTTACATGGCAGCCATGCTTCCTGTAGAAGCAGCCCAAAAGCAGTGTTCTCTCGCAGAAGGTGTCATGAGGCACCATGCAACACACCACAGTTTAATTCACTCATGTCAGAGACCCTGCTCATACCCACTGAACCTGCCAAGTCATTCCTGCCAGACTTTGCATCCTAGATACCATTCTCAGCAAGACTTATGAACAGTGCTCCAATGCGCTCTGTTTTATGGATGTAATGATACACTTAAGTTATTACCATCAACTTGAAAAACTGGTAACATGGTGACCCTGGAGTTCTTCCAGTGACTGTCTCTTTAGCTGATTCTGACAATGTTTCACTTTATTGCAAATCACAGAGGACATTTCCATTTCCAAGCATCAACTCTGTGCTGCCTCAAAGGCCAGTGGCACTAAATCTTTAAAAAAAATTGTTTGAATATATTAAGATAACGTAGTAGTACTTGGTTTGAACAGGAAGTAAACTTGAATGCTTAAACCTTAAGCAGCTAGAACTAAAAGCCAGTGTTATCCAAGTAGGTGTGCAAAACAGCCCCTAGCATCACCCTAACTCGAACTGGTTGACAAAGCAGGCCAAAAAAATTCAATTGCACCAGCAAGCCTGACAGGTGAAAGGAGTAACTTTAAAAAGAAAAGCTGTCAACAGGACACCAAACTATACAAACTACATCAACACAATATTGGTCACCACTTCAGAAGAAAAACTCCCACCTTTGGCCTAACACATTTGTACTCCCAGAAATTAAACAAGCCCTTTTTTGAAGGAGTTTACAAAACAGGTTTTGCCCCATATAGGTAGCATCCTTTGTAGGCCTTGAGTGCACAGCCCAAGTGAGGTATGAATATTTTAACAGTCAGAAAGAAAGCCTTCAGTGTCACAGCCTAGAAACATAAAGCAAATGATTCTATTGATAAAAGTATTAAGACTAGATCACTCCAAGAACAGATGCCTGAGTTTTAGCACACAGATATTCACACAATGTACTGAAGTACCTGCCTTCTACATACTCCCCAGGTAACAAGTTTAACTTGATTACTTAAAACAGCCTTACATTCTTTTATTCAAACCCATACATCAGCTGCAGTAAGGTATCAGTTCTGTAAACTACGGTAGACTGTAAAATAATCTGAAGCAACATCTGCAACTTCTCTTCATTTACTTGGAGCCTGACATTAATCATCTCTTCCTACCTGGAAGTCATCAGAACCTTAGCAGACCTCAGAGCACAAGTTGTAGCAGAATCCTTTCACAGAGCATAGCCACCCAAAGCCTCTTCAAGCCAAGACGCTTTCTGAACAAACAAGTAGAGTGGTCTTTTATCACTGGTTATTTCTAAACAAACAGATTCTCGCTATCACAAGTAGATAGAACTATCAAGAGCTTACACACAACATGCCCATGAAAAGCTCAAAGCATCTTGTTAACAGTATTCTGCACCCCCGGAGCTCACTTAGCTCAGAGGGGACAGGAGAGAAGTTTAATCTTAGGTCCGATTCAATTCCTATTAGATTTCACTTACCAGCAGAAACTGGAAAGTCAAGTCCAGAGCATCAAGTTGGGTTTTTTAATTGTTTTGGGTCAGGTTGGTTTGTCAGAGGTTTTTTGACTAGCCAGCCTAACATGTCTGAAAGCTCTCAGCCTACCTGAAGAACAGACCATCACTGCCATGAATCAAGCACTTTAGAGGGTGGAGAACTACAATGTTGCCAGATATGAAGGAAACTTGATCCCTCCAGAAGAGCTGGTTTGATGACTTCACCCTGAAGTTGCAAAGAACACCCTTCCCATCACGGGATTTTTAACTAGTTAGCAATTACCAAGACAGATACTGCACAAGTTAAGCATGTTAATTGCAGCACGAGTGCTACTGCTGGTCCCAGCAATGTATCAACATATGCTAACCTGTCATGTGCTCCTAGGCAGATGTCGCAGCCTTTGTGGTTCTTTGTACTACCTTCTGGCTGCTCACCCTGTTACTCTGGCTAGTCACTGCCTCAGGCAGCACTGGAGTACTTTGGAAGCCCTTCTAGAAGGCTTCAGCATCCTGGGCAGAAGGGTCACATTCTACTTCCAAGAACTACTTTCAGAGCAGTCTCTCAAAACAATGGTCAGGACAAGAAGTCCCACTTCACAGTCCAGTGTTCTGCAAAAGCTGCAGAAGCATTGTAGTAAATTCTGCAAGTAGTTCATCAAATAAGCATGCTGATAGCACTGTCAAATCAAGTCAGGCCAGGAGTTAATGAAACTCGGAACATGAAGCCCTACTCCTTACTTCACCCTCCCTTTCCTCACCTGCCCCAGCACAGTCATAACATACTACCTGAAACACAGAAAATAAGTGGATTTGTCCTAAAGCCCAATCTAAGGGCCACAAACTGCTCTGGGTTCTTGCAATACTCCAGTCCCAGCAAATCAAGTATAGGAAGGGATGAGGACTAACTTTGGAAGAGGTGGTGTTCACAGAATGACTGCCCCTACACTGAAGTCCTTCTAGCCAACTGGACAGTAATTTGGACTTGCAAAGCTCATGGCAGCCTCCCTATACAGGTCTCCATGACAACACATTCAGTACTGTCACAGAGGCAAAGCAACAGACTTTTGTTGTTTTGGTCTTCCTTTTTTTTTTATAGTGTCTCTTAACACTTTAAGGGGTCCAGTTCCATCCCAGTAATTGGGTTATGGACCCAGCACATCCACCCCATACATTTACAGAGAGCGGTCATTTCAGAGGCATGGCTAATGGCTCCTTGCACTGCATGCAGAACAGTCAGGCCATGCTGCCTCTGCCAGAGTACTACAGACAGGCTGGTAGATTCATCTAACTCACAGGGCTGTCTCAATGCTGTCAGAAATCCCCACATGCACAAGAACACTGGACCTCAGGCTTTTAGTACATACAGAAGGGCTCTCATCTGTCAAAGCATTTGGCAGTGGAGCTTGTAGCAGAGTGCTGCAGGCCTAGAAAGTCATAGCTACATTTTTCTTTCTTTTCAAGATACTCATCTGACCTTTGACGCTTTAGTACTACTGATATAACACACTCCAGACTACAGTCATATCTACCGCTCTGGCTGGAGCTGATGCAAAAAGATCATCAACTGGACTTACCCCTGAAGTGTGTCATCCATTCAGGCCTATTACTATGGCTGTTTGCTAATCACTCCCTACTCCATTTTGGCTTCCTCCAACCTGAATCATTCAATTAGAGCATGTGAGCTAATGGACAGTTCTGACTGTCCATAGTAACTTCTAACCCAGGTCGAACAGGCTAGGAAATACAAGAGAAGCAATACTGTATAGCAAGACACAGAAGCAGACAGACTTGAATGGAAGCACATATAGCCAAGAAGATATTACCACCCAGTTTCCCTAAAAGCTCTTCACTCAGCAACAACTACAGCAGGACTACTATTGACACTCATCAGCTAAGTATCCAGAACAAGCACCTTTTGTTGAAACGCTAAGCCAGATTTTGAGAACAGTAGCTTCTTGTGTATGTACAGACTATACTTCAACTGAACAAACTCAGCTAAATAACCCACTTCTTGTAGTATGAGGTAAAATGAAAAGCTAATTCCTGCTTCCCCTAAGTACACAGCTAGTAGCTGATGACCTGTTTGTTCTGCAGTGTAAGAACATGGGAATGAACAGTCAGCTCAACCTGCATGTTATAAAAGTCAGAGACAGCCTGCTTTAAAT